CGCTTGGGAGGGGTGATGGAGTTTGGGATGTCCCTGGGGGCTCAGGGCAAGTGTGAGGTTTTGTGGGGGTCACTACAAGGTTTCCTGAGTTTTTGAGGACATGAAGAGAGGGGTCAGGGCTGGGGAGGGCCTGAGGAATTACGAGGGGTTCAGGGACTGGGGGGCACTGCAGGAGTTGGTTTTTTTTTAGGGTTGAGGGAGATCTTAGCGTTATGGAGGGGTCCTTGGGGAGGCTCTGGGGCCTTTGGAGGGGTAGGGGCTTTTCTGGGGGGCAGTGGCCTGGGACAGCTCCCCACAGCACCTGGAGGTATGGAGGGGTCCTTGGGGAGGCTCTGGGGCCTTTGGAGGGGTAGGGGCTTTTCTGGGGGGCAGTGGCCTGGGACAGCTCCCCACAGCACCTGGAGTCTTTTTCGGGGGTGCTCCTGGGGCAGAGGACCTATTCAGGGATTAGGAGTTCTTAAGCACATCAAGGGGTGTTGGACAAGGCCCCCGCATGCCTGGGCCCCCCCTGTGTTGTGGGCTCTGGGGGGAGCTCACTCCAAGCTGTGCTGTTGCCCCTCCCTGCGCAGGCGGCGGCGGAGCAGGCGGGGCCGTGCTCCCCACCCTGACCCTGAGGGGCTCCCAGAGCCGATCGCCTGCCCCTATGCGGGCTGTGGGCAGGTCTACGTCGCTCTCAGCAGCTTTCAGGTGCGGACCCCCTGGGGCCATCCCGCTCCCCCTGGGGCCACCCCGCTCCCCCTGTGCCCTCTGGGGTCCATTGGGGACCCCCTTACCTCTCCACTCCCCAGAACCACGTCAACCTGGTGCACCGCAAGGGCAGGACCCAGCAGTGCCCCCAGCCTGGCTGCGGGAAGAGGTTTTACCTGGCCAACCACCTGCGCCGGCACATGGTCATCCACTCTGGTGAGCGAGTTCACTTGTGAGACCTGCGGGAAGTCCTTCAAGCGCAAGAACCACCTGGAGGTGCACAGGCGGACGCACACCGGGGAGACCCCCCTGCAGTGAGTGATGGGGGGGTGCTGGGGACACCCCCTGCGGGGAGTGTCGAGGGGGGGACACCACCTTGCTTGTGGTCAGTGATATTGTAGGGTCACGGCTGCACTGAGTGACACGGGGAGGGGACGCCACTCCCTCTGACCCCCCCCATTCTGCCCACCCCCTCAAAGTGTGATGTCTGCAGGTGTCCTTCACCCCCCCTTGCCCCCCCAGGTGTGAGATCTGCGGGTACCGCTGCCGCCAGCGTGCCTCCCTGACATGGCACATGAGGCGCCACGGGGGGCCAGGGCTGCGCCCCTTCCCCTGCGAGCACTGCGGGAGGCGCTTTGAGCGCCCCGAGGGCCTCAAGTTCCACGCGCTCAAGAGCCACCCCGAGCCCCGCGGAACCTAGGGACCCCCCTGCCCACCGGGTCGCCCTGGCCGCCCCAGGGCTCCCTCATGGCACACGGAGGTGGGGAAGTACCCCCCGGGGGTCCTGACCCCTGCCACGGGGCACCCTGGGCTCCGTGCACTTGGTGGAGCCCCTCGTCTCCCCAAGCTGCCCTGGGCACCCACACCTGCCCCCAGCACCGGGTGACCCTGACACCCCCAGGATCCCCCCATTGCCCTGGGTCCCCCCTCACCCTTTATTTATTTCCTCTCAGTTGTCGT